TATTTTAATAATATATCATTTTAATAATATATATATAAACATTGAATAAATATTCTTTCTTTGAAAAAGAAATATGACTTCAAAAAATATATTTCTTTAATCAAGAAACATGATTGACAAATTGTAAAAAATTAAAAATAACGAGTTTTCGGTTAACAAAATTTTCAAAATGTTATCAAGTATCGAGAGTATTTATCATTAAAATTTTTAATAATTTAAATTTTTAAACTTTTAAAATTTAAATCCTATCTTTTTCAGATTATCTATTTAATGTTAAATATTCGCAATAAAAATAAAATAAAGCATGAAACAGTGAAGTAAACAAGACTGATTAAAAATTGAATCGCAAATGTCTCTTAAGTTTGACGATGGTATTAATAATGTAGACGATACAATATTGCCCTTGTTAAGTTTGACAACACGATATGTCGGTATCGCGCAATGCCGCTAATCGATACACCGGCAAATTATTAATTCTCCGATAGAATTTGAATATACCTGTTTGCATTAGTCGACAAAGTTACAACGGTGTTCAGTGCAATTGTCATGACATTTTCAATTATTCCGGTACTAGCCGATGTCGAGCGATCCAAGACAAACTTTGCCCATATCGTACGGCACCAGTTACGTCCGTGCTTGACGGATTACATGGATTACATGCGTCTTGCGAACTTCGACGATGGCGTTCGACGTCGTCGCGACACCGTAGGAAATACATTTCATATCTCAGCGAAACTTAAATACTGAAAAATTCTTGTTGGTTTTACTCTATTTGATATTTCCCGTAGCACACAGTTTTATAATCGAAATGTGTTATTTTTGATAAAAATAAATATTTAACATCAAAATGAAAATTAATCGCATTTAACAGCAAATATGTGAATATGAAAATGCATACCTTTATCTCTCATAAATTATGCTTCTTTGAATGCTTGAAAATCGCAAGCTCGGTAACGAATGGATTAAACTTCCGTAATGAAAACGCTCGTTTATGCGCGTAACTTATCGCGCTGCTGTTGTTTTATGAGAATTACGTGTCTCGCAATATTCAATTACAGACAACATATAGAACTCCAATATATGAGAATGTATCATCAATAAATCTGTCAAAATTCGTACAAACGAATCTATCTAATCTTCCATTAAATTTTTATTAAATTTTTCATAAAGAAAAAAAAATAATTGCAAATTTATTAAAGAATTAGACATTAAAATGTTTTTTGAATAAATAGAATGCTGGAGATATATAATCTGCAATTCTTGTTTACAATTTTTATAATTATTTTGACGTAATTTTCATAAATATAAGGTATAAATAAATTAGAAATATATTATATAATTTCAATCATTTTTTATATGATGCAAAATTTAACTAAAAGTTTAATATATTTTAACTTATTCTCAATTTTTCATTTAATTTATTCGTTATGAAAGATTGATCTAATTATATAAGAATAAATTGAGCGACGAGACAATATATTTTTTCTAGTTTACGTTCCGTGACTAGGTAGATATTTGATTTTGATCTAGCTTATTGCATTTCAATAGGTACATCCGCATAGAAATCGATGCGGCAACCGGCGAATCGCCGATAACGTCGCGGGCGGTGACGGACGCCCGAGACTCGCAGGATCCGCCACGCCAGGACGAAGATCTGAAGTCGACTGTCGGCGCGATATTGAAAATGGAAGCTGGCACTCTCTCCCGCGTGTCATCAGCGTCGCCGACCGCCGATGAAGATGGAGCGAATCGAAGCGTTCCCTCGTCCTCGCGCGACCCGAGAAGAATTCTGCCGAAGCCGAAAGCCGATATAAAGGATTTTTGCAAACTCAAGGAGCTCGTAAATCTTGCCGGAAAATGCGCGGCGGGAGTCGATCGTTGACGAGGATACGAACAGCTGCGATTTCGCGAATGAGAAGTCTTAATCGTATTTTTTATTGAAAAAAGTATCCGTCCTATAAATATAAATATTTATCTTTATGCGAGTGAATAGAGAAAACATAAACATTCGATGTATTACTACATGTGAAAATTCTACGATTTAAATGACAAGGTATTGGTGATATATTTATGTAATGTTTGACAGATGAAAAATTGGATTTATCTGATTTCTTTGTTTGGTGAATTTATGACAAAATAAACCGGAACTTTTCAATTAAATTGCAAATACCGTTCCTGACATATATCGAAAACCTAGGAAAAATATTATAAAATAATGTGACAACTATGCATCAAAAGAACAACAACCAATACTGCTAATTTAGAAATGGTTGAAAACATCGAAGAATCTAATTAATTTCTTATTACCAAATCGTGAAATAACATTAAGCTTCTCGTTCCAACTTGAATTTTAATGTATTTAATATAAATGTAGAAACTTTTGGTACTTTTTCATTAAAACGGATTGCATACATCAAAACCGTATTGTGAAATTAGTGGTAAGAGTGAAGCGTAAAGTAATATTTTTAGATATGCATGCGGAAAAAGATTGAAACACCACAATTACGCAGATCGCGCCATTAGGCAAGTGCATTAACGCACGCATTTGTAATTATTACGTTAACGTGTAATCGCGTTCACCATTGCGCAACGCTGTCGCGTTTATTGCATTTTTGCAGCACATTCTCGCTTTCAGTACGATGTCCCGTTAATTAAAGTTTCCGTAAGCAAAAAATATAGGTAACAAAGTAAATCGGGAAAAATTGCAAACGTAATGACATCATGCCGCGCGCAAACGCGCCGTCGATATTCGCGCAGAAAAATGTTGCCCGCGTTATTTTCTCGCGTTATGTCAAAAAAAAAAAAATGGAAAAAATAAAAAAAAATCGCTCGCTGCAACTCGAAGCTTATAGACAGAGCTGAAATGCACTCCGCAAAAATCCCGTAAATTCCCCCGATTCAAAGAAATAACGTAATACTATTTCGTACGATTTTGCCCTCAGCCCTCGGAGGACGGAACAAAGTATCGGAAGTGAAATAAAGAAAGCGGCGGAGCAATAATAAGACCGCCGGTTAAAAATAAGAAGTACCGCCGAAATTAATTACGCCCTCGTCTAATCCCTTCAAGCGGCTCCTCCTTTTTAATTCTCGACGAACAAAAGAGTCGGCGCTTTAATACTCACGGAGTCCTTGCCCGTATATACAGTATTACATAATCAACTTAGAAAAGCTCTCTCAAAGAAATCCGGCAATCTCTATCTGCGATTATTTCGTTTTAAGAATTTGCAACAACGTCTTATACAACAATAAAAAGAAATGTTATAATTTAAGAAACAAAGAGTATCGATGAAAAAAGGAATTTAGTATAAATAATACAAAATAATTTAATTCTGTTCCGCGGAAAAATAAAGGAAAACAACAAGTAAGTAAGTGTGACATGCCATATGCTTAAGAGCTAACCGTCAGCTGACGAATCTTTCTTAACGCTTTCCATCGGCCCGAAAAGCCCGAGGCCTCGTTACTTATTGCGGCTGCGGGCTGCATCCCGCCGTAAGAGAGGGAGGGAGGGACGAGGGGATGGACGCGGCGTGCCCGAGTAAATCACGGTGGATTTAAGTGGATTCTACAAACTCCCTCGCGCCGGGGCTACCCCCGACGATGTATCGTCCTCGTAGGGTCGTTGCGGCGCCACGGCACCGCAGCGCGGATATAACGGGGCAGGAGATTCAGAGCGAGCGAGAACCGCCGGCGCTCTCTCGCCGAGCGAGCGACGCGGCATCCGTTGCGTCTTACGGCCCCGGCTTACAACGGAACTTCGCCGAGTCGGGCAAAGCTCACGGACGGAGTGGCGGATTACTCGCCGGGGCCTAGGGCCTGACACATAAAAGGGCCTCAAGATGAATTACACAGGATTTATCATAACATGCGAGACTTTAGTTTGAGGACGGAGACTGCATCTCGAAGCGAGCAAAAAATTCAATCCAGCATTATAGTTTTTACTTAGTTTTTTTTTAATTCGAGAAAGCGAGAGCGAGAGCGAGAAAGAGAGAGAGAAAAATATAGATGACAAATTTATACTCATTACGTGTTTCATATAACGTGTTTGTTTAAAGATAAAATTCATCAACAGAATTTCGGAAAATATTTTTCAATTATAGGGAGAAATCATAATATTCCGTATCTCTTTTCGACATATTTCATTTTCATTTATGAAATTTGTAAATAACAGAAACGTCGACAACTGTTTCAAGAAAACATTATATAAAATAGCATGTACGACATTTTTATGTCTAACCAATACTGATCATTACCTCCACTCCATATTTACATCGTATACCGCAAATATTCGAGCGTTATTTCCTTTTCAAGCGCGTAACGGTTCAGTACACTTACTGTCGTCAGAACAAACAATATCGCAGAGGAAAGTTGTTGTACGACATCGGGAGAATTTCCACGGTTTCCTCATGAAAGTCATGCGGTTGAAGGCAACGCCCGCGATCGCGAACGAGCACTCCTTCGATTCACCCTTTTTCCCGGCCCTTCATCTCGTCCTTCTCCGATGATCACGACGGTGTGACGCGGCTTTCTCAGCGTCATGGCGGTCCATTTCGCTTCTTTCGCCTTTCTCGGCTCTTTCATCGAATTATGAGGACCGTCGAGGATCTTCCGCACCCGGAAATACCGTGACGCCCGGATGACATCGCGCGGACAGAGGCGGGAAGGATAAACGCCAGAAAAGCGATCAGAAATTTTTCGCCTGAAATGAGGCGCCGAAATAGCTTCCCTTGCTTTCCCAGATATTTGATCTAACTTTTTGGAATCTGAATAGTACAAATATGCTCTTATTCGATAAATTAGAGATACGGTAAAAAGTAAAAACGGTATGTTAAAAACGGCGTGGAAAAAGATTATTATTTATTTTAGAAAATTAGGAAGCTTTGAGTAAGGTTCTACATTCGATGTTTGATCACGCCAAGATGGTCTCACCATCTCAAACAATCTAATCCTGGATTATGAGGATTCTAACGCACAAACATGAAGAGAAAGGGAAATTCACTTACATAAGCAAAGTTGCAGGACCGCGGCGAAGAGGGCTGCGAGTTTCCGCGCTGCCATGAGAGTCGACCAGTTTTCTGATCAGTCTTTGGGACACCAGTCGGTGATCTGTGAACAGACAAATATTTTTCAATAAATAATATAAACATAATAGTAAAATTAACAATAACAATCCAATATTCAGCTACGCATCAAATATTTCTCATATTTATATAAATAAGTTAAATAAATGTAAGTATAATTGCCCGCAAATTTATATTTATGTGTTCGTAAACGCAAATAATTATTACATTTATCAAGCGCAACAATCATTACCGCGGAATTCCTTTCAACTGCATCTTACTGCAACGGAAAGAACCAATTTCACTCAATCGACTTTGCGCACAAAGTGGTCATGATTGTACGGTGGTGAGTATGCTAGTTTGCCGATCGTGAGAAACTGACTCAGCGATTCGCAGTTTTCACCGCGGGAGAAATTTATTTTCCACTATAATCCGCACCGCGTTCTTTCTTTCTGCTTTCCATCTCACTTTTTTCCCATCAGAAGAGAGCGAGAAAGAATAAGGAGAACGCGTCAATTTTAATTATCGTCCGTCTTAACTCTCTCGATACCCTCGACGTCGCAGAAGTAAAAGGGTTGACGGGAGTAAAAAAGGGAGCATCCGAGCGAGGGTGGCACACAGCGGAAGCAGAGGGGAAGAGAGATCGAAAGTAGCTTCGAAGCAAACTAACCGCAACGCCGGGGGCTCGCCAACTGTAATTAATGACCACCCCGTTATCCTATCACCAATTAAAGGAGTCACGCCGAGAGAGAGAGAGAGAGAGAGAGAGAGAGAGACGCCTCTTGTTATTTCGACACCGCTGAAATCCGCGCGCGATTCGATCTAATGAACAGGTGCGCATGAACAATGAAGCGTAAAGGCCGATTAAGCATTAGCGGAGAGCACGCGAGTGTCTACGGCGCGGTTTCTCGCGCAGCTCCGACTCGAAAAGAGAGAAAGAGAAAAGTTTATTATTAAAGGAGAGAGTCTCTGAAATAAAAACAGAAATGCGATATATAAAGAAACGTGATGAAATGTACGAGAGTATGCGAAGTAAATAATATAAGTTAGCTGAACGCGGTAAGTTCGGGTAACAGAGATAGAAATGCTGCGAGAAGAAGAGAGGAATGTATCTATTTTATTAGCAATAAGATTCTCTAAAGATGCAAACGGAAAGTCACGGTTTTCAGAAAATCACGAGTTGTTTGCAAAGATACACTTTAATCCTCCTTGCATTCGAAGTGACGAAGCTGTATTTTTCATGTTGAGCTATCAGATTATTGCTTATTTAAACTTTTCAAACACTGTCTTAAAGTGAACGTCATGTTGAAGAACCTTGATATTGTGTTCTAAATTTTTCGACAAAGATTTCTTTTAATAATTTGCGTATTCAAAAATTGCGTTAAACAGAAATTAAAGAATTAAAACAATAAAGACATCAAATAAAACTAAATATTTCATACAAATGCATTGCTTACAATCAATTAAACCATTTAATCTAAAGTTTCTGAATATTAATTTTAATAAAAGAATAAAAATTTAATGAATCTTTTCACTTTCGCACCCTCTGCTTTCTTGCACACTCGCACTAGACAACGCACTATTCTTTCAACGCCATGTCGCAGCATGCTTTTTCCTCATCGATGAAACATCCGCCGACTCATTCCATGATGTCGATAAAACCGCGGATGAGGAATTTTTATTCCCTCGCATGTCACGCGATGAAAGAAAGTGTCGACGCGCGGCCATCGATCCCGTGCAGGCCGCACCTGCTCTCAACGCAAATCAATCTGCGATCTACTATCGTCTGCGAACCGCAAGTCCTACAATGTGCAATCAGAGCCATGCAAGTAAAAACAGTATCAATGGCCAAACATATCTTTCATCCAAATAATGACTATATTAATTAAAAGCCGGAACAAGCGTTTGTATTTTTGTCGCTTGATATCGATTGGAATAATTCATCAAAATCTTTTTATAAATCAATATCAAAGATATTATATATTAGAATTGTGAACATAAAAATCCAAGTCATGTTCTAAATAACAATAATAAAAATAAAAATATTTGTATATTCGAAAAAAAGAAGAGGAAAAGCATTTTTATGAAATAAATAGATAGATTTATAGAACAACATAATTTATGATACAATAGATAGATCGTTTTGCATCGGTGAACATTTTTCTGCAGAGCTGTCAACTTTCTCAAGTTTAAAAATTATATAAAACTTTTTGGAATTTTTCAATTAATTCGGAAAAAAAGATTTTGTATACCGAAACATAGTCATGGCATTTCAAGATTGACAAGGAAAGACCCAACTTTTAGTAGCACGCTAAAATTCTATTGTGCATCCCGTACACGAGTGAAATCCGCTGTCCGCGTTCAGTTTGCATGAAAACGCGATGCGAACGAGTAAGCGTTACGCGCCCACCATTTCGGTTCATCCCCTAAACGAACATTGTTCTCCTGCGACCGATCCAAGCCGCCGTGCACATCCATTCCGACAAACGTCATCCTGCCGACGGCCGGCGATGCCCATAAAGCATCAAAACGGCGCTTCGTTGCGGTAGCTTTATGGTGTAACGGCCGATGCGATGGCGGCGGCGGCGGCGGCGGCGGCGGCGGCGGCGGCGGCGGCGGCGGCGGTGGTTTCGGATCGATTCGCTATTTGTCAGCAGTCATTTCGGAAGACAATTCAACGCGCGGCCGGTGCGTCGAGACGAGTCCCGAGAAACTGCATCGAAGAAAAATGGAAGATGGAAGGAGGCGAACGGCGGAAGAGAATGGTTATAGGGCACAGTCGGAAAGGCGCGATTGATTTATTGCAAAAAGAGGCCGCGGTAAGTGGACTATTTTTCAATGAATCGGTCGAGAACGATGAGGGTGGGAGCGGGAGAGAGAAAGAGAGAGAGAAGGCCGGTGGAAAAATGGATTTTTCCGTGGGAAAATGGAATTTTGAGCGCACCGTGAACCTCCGCAAAAGGGAGTGCCAGCCGTCATACGTGCCTCAGTCATCCTCCGGTGATTTCGCGAGTGTTTCGATACTCTCGAGAATGGAGCGGCGGTGGTTACCGGGCGAGACACGTGCGCAGGCAGAGGAGGAACGAGAGGTGTGGGACGCACCATAAGTTATGACTTTCGTCTCGCTCCCGCCATCGCCGCCGTACCGACGGCTCTATGAATGTATGCATGAGATACGAACTTTATGCTTTATGCATTGAACGCGCCGGCGATAAGAAGTCGCGCGCGTACGGCCGACGCGACGCCACGTTTCGTGCTGACGAGTACATCGAAAGAGCAAGAGAGAGAAAACGAGGGAGAAGCAATCTCTCTCTCTCTCTCTCAATTTTCATTCCGGATAGATATGTTCCATTGGTTAATCACGCCCGGTTCGATTTGCGTGCGAGGAAATCGCTAGAGCGAATCTTGCGCAGCGGATAGAATTGCAGCTTTTTAATTTTTAAGATGAAACATTGCTGGCGGAAGGAGATACGTTCATACTACGTTCATTTTACCTACCGTTTGCCATTTGTAAGACTGACCTAGAAGTGATGTGCTTTCTATCGATTACTGAACAAATCCATCATCATTATCTCCCATTGTTATGACGGATCATTAATCTGTTATCATGCGATTCGGAATCGCTGATAATACACATCATAGATCAAAGTGAAAAAGAAGGTGATTGCCTTAATACATCGCCACGTGAATAATTTCACTGCGAAATTAAATTAATTTTGACGAGAAATGAAAAAGTTTTAATTTGTAAAATCGGCTGCAGAAATGGAAATATACAATAAAGTCTTGCGCTTAACTTAATTTCAAGTGATTTGATTTTAATCGGATTTTAACTTGAGATTCTGTTGCCGAGGTATTTAACGCTGGAAATGAAAGAGTTGCGAAAAATCCTCACTAAGAGAAGATTCGAGTTCATCTAAAGATATTTGCAGTTAAAACAAAGTAACGTGGTTCTAGGACAATTTATATTTCCGCAATCGATCGCGGCCATGTCTGGAATCTAATTCCTTCGGCACAATCGCGAGTTGATGGTCTACTGCAAATAAAGGATTGAGGAACGGCGTTTAATGGAGACACGAACGCCGTGCGCAAAGGGTACACAGTATAGCGCTGCCAATATGAACCCGTGTCTTATCGTATATCTTCGTATGTGTACCACATCTGGGTACTTAGACGATCTTTTGTTATCCGAAGTCACGGATAATACATCGATGCTCGAGTTTCGAGGTAATTTTGCAGTACAATTTTTAGAAGAGTATTAAAATAACATGTTAATTTTCACTATTACGTCAATTAATTGCAATATTATGTAGCCATTTAATAATCTTCGCAGTTACTCAAATGACATCTGGAAAGTCGGACCATTCGGAGTATTCAATATCAAAGTAAGCATCTATCGACAATATACAGAGAGAACGCTTAATAGAGCCGCATTCGCATCTAATGTCGGTCCGTGTCTATTTGAGATACGGTGCATAGACGTGTTTCCAAAACGACATCGCTTTTAATCGTAAGCTATAAAGCCCGTAAGCCTTGATGTGCACTCGCGGATGGCGAGGTGGGCGGAAGTCTCTCACCCTGCGGAACGTTTATAGACAAGAAACGCGCACGATCGGACGATTACTCTCGACGCGAGACGCCCTGCGGCGGTAATAACTGTCTCTGCTCGAAATGAAGAGACAGTTAATCTAATCTTCGCAGTAACGACAGCCCGGGCACCGGGATTTATTCGTTCGTAACGACGTAAACCGTACAAATTGGCGACCGGCACACGCCGTCCTAATTGCTTTCCGCGCCTCTCTCTCCGGGTATGCGTGATAAATCTTTAAACATTAATTCGATTGTTAGGCGTGCACACGAGCACCTGCGCTCTCGGCGTTCAGTCCACAGCAAATTCTTAGTCTGTTACTCACGCTCGTATCTGCGAAACCGAGTGTCTGAACTAGCCTCGTAAATATAGAACGTTGCATACGCTTTGAATTTTTAGCAGTCTTAATGTCACCGTGAAAGAATTCATAGGGTTCATTCGAATCTCCTTCGCAATATCGT